CACATCTGGAGTACTGCATCCAGTTCTGGGCGCAGAACTATACTCCAGTTCTGTGCAGCTTTACTTTCAAAGCCATGTGATGCAGTCCAAGGCACCTAGACCTTCAAGGTTCAGCACAGGGGTACCTGAATTTCTGAAAACTTCTGCAGGGGAATGTAAAACACAAGCACTCAGGACCGCATGCTTTTGTGTGGCTACGGTTGGAGGAGGGGTGTGTAAGAAACCTGCAGCTTTCCACAGTCCTTTTCCAAATGAATTCACGCTTCCCCAGGGGAACTGCAGGGGAAGGATGGACTAACAGAGAAGTAACCCCCATCAGTGCTGCTGAAATTCAGATGACAGGTCAGGTAGAGGCAGCCAGTGCAGTTGTCTTGGTTCACGTGCCCAGAGCAACTGCACACCTATGCCAAGGTGGCCAAATGCAGTTTAGGAGTACAATTTTTTTCTGAACAATTTTCTTGTCTGAAAAAGTAGCTTTAATATCAAAACACTGTTAAATCATCAAACCTTGCCTAGTGTAATATCACCATCTATTATTAGAAGCTTGAAAGATGGTATTTCTGTGAAATTTGAACCAAAAAGACATGCAGTCAACAAAAGTGCTTAAAAAAGTGACACAAGCATGATTATTCAGAACCATTTTATGATAAAAATCTGAAGCAGCAAGTGAGAATGAATAACACAGAAAAAAAAAATCATGAAAAAATACACATTTAGGAAGAAAATTAACCTTCTACATTTTTTTTCCTAAAAATCTTCTATAAAGTGACACTTCAGGAAAATTCAGTGCAATATGACTAATGAACTTTAAGGATATTTATATTAATTTACATACATACCAATTTGAAAATTATGCCAAGTTTGGGTTTTTTTAATTAATCTACTTCAGAAGGGATTTTTTTAAAAATATATATTTCCGAAGTATTAAATTTTTTAAATTTAACATGCAGTGTGAATCTTTCACATGCAGCAAGGAACTCAGGATTCAAATACTAACTTAGAGTAATGCAATAAATATTCTTAATGGAAATGAAAGTATCTGCTGCAAACTTAATAGAAGTCAAAAAAATTATGTCACAGTGTGATAAGGCTGGTGTGACTGTAAACTCTTTGTAATTGAAAGAGGCAAGTGACTGCCCTTCTGTAAAGGCACTCAGGCTGTTCAGTACTGTACTGCACCAGCCTGATTTTAAGCAGGTTATAATTCTGACCTTGACATCTACAACCCTGCACGCTCTCATGAGCACAGTTTTTGATTTTAAAAAAAAAAAAAAAAATCCCCAAGAGTGGGCATGCAGCATATTCAGTTCCAGAATTAAAAATCTATTAACTACAAGAAATAAGTTTTAATGGAAAAGTAGCTGCACAATAAAAATATATATTTGAAAATCTGTTCACCATTTTAGCTTTAAAACATACAAGAGAATACTGCATAGAATAACTACACAGTAAAAAAGAAAGTTTTGAAAACTTTTTTTTTTTAAGGTTGTTTTTTTTTTTAAGTATTGTGTTTGTTGGATGTTTCAAAAGAAAAGCTTTCCTTCTAGAGAACAGAAGCAGTTCCTTCTTAATAAGCATCAGATCAAGTTTCCATCACACAACTGAGTACAAATAGATGACAGAAACTACATATTTAAAGAAATAATATAATGTCCAGAAAGGCCCCTAGGAACACCTTTGAGGAAGTAAGGAAACTTGTCCTAAACTACTGCCATGGCTTTTAGGGAGCAAGATCATCTAGATACCACAGTACAAATGTATGATGTGCACAATATGGAACTACTACAGCTGTGTGTCCACTTCCTGGCTCATCAGAATGCAGAGACTGACTTGGCCAGGACAAGAGGCAGCAGCAACCTGTTCGGTCAGCAGTGGACACCCACTTCCCCACCATGAGTACGCCAATTTGGGTGTCACCTATGCAATCAGTGCTGTGCACAAAACTAATAGGAGCTTTGTATCTTTAAGGCTTCTAGTCCTCTGATGAATACTGATGAAACTGAGTACAAAAGATTTTGGGGAAAGTAGCAGATAAGCACAGTCCAAGTATTATTTAGAAAACCAAGTAGGAAGATACACCAACAAAGAAAACAATCAATACAGCAATGTAATTCTTTGTTAGCAGTGCTCCTCACCCTGTTTAAGAATAAGGAAGTCTAAAAAGATGACAGTGAATTCATTTACGTCCTTGTAATTGCAAACGCTCTCCAGGGTTGTGTTACAAAACCCTTCTAAACCCACAAAAGGGATTTGGTCTGTGTTTTTGGAAATACAAAAAACTCTGCTTCTGTGAGATTCCAAGCCAGGCATAAGCCAAGAGACAGTAGAGAGATGGAGATAAATGACAGAACACAGGCAAACAACTAACCAGTATTTACCAGTAGGATTTGATTTGCAAATATTTTTCTTTTCAATGCAAGGCAACAAAGCACATGGTGATATTTGTAGGTATTTACAGTTCATGTGTGTTTGTCAAAAGGAAAAACAAAACAAAACAAAAACCTACCAATATATTTATATATAATTAAATAGCAGGAACGAATAACTGAAGGCAACAGTCTTCACCCTACTAGTAAAGCTGGTGATGACAGTGTAAGACAAGAAGGACATGGACCTGCTGGAGTGAGTCCAGAGGAGGGCCAGGAGGATGATCAGAGAATTGGAGCACCTCTCCTATGAGGACAGGCTGAGAGAGTTGGGGCTGTTCAGCCTGGAGAAGAGAAGGCTCCAGGGAGATCTTATAGTGGCCTTCCAGTACCTGAAGGGGCTACAGGAAGGCTGGGGGGGGCCTTTTCACAAGGGCAACTAATGACAAGACAAGGGGAAATGGGTTTAAACTGAAAGAGGGGAGGTTTAGATTAGATATGAGGAAGAAATTCTTTCCTGTGAGGGTGGTCAGACACTGGAACAGGTTGCCCAGAGAAGCTATGGATGCCCCCTGTCTGGAAGTGTTCAAAGCCAGGCTGGATGAGGCTTTGAGCAACCTGGTCTAGTGGAAGGTGTCCCTGCTCATGGCAGGGGGGTTGGAACTAGGTGATCTTTAAGGTCCCTTCCAACCCTAACCATTCTGTGATTCTATGACAGTGTAAAAAGAACCTTGAAAGGGACATCAAAAGCTTGCTTTAAAGAGAAAGAGAAAGAGAAGGGACAATCAGGAAAACAATGAGAAACAGCTATATCAGTAAAGCTGCACTGTTTGGATGAGTTCAATAATATTAATTTATCAAGAAAAGAAGTACTGCAGTAGTAGAGATTTAACACACTGAGAAATAAGAGTATTTAATGATAAGGGAAACAGGGTTGGGGTCACTCAGGCAAACAGAAAACAAAATAGAGAAAAAATTCTGACCGACAAGAAAAGAAAGAAAGCAAAAGGAAATGTAACATTATTTATCAATCATTTCTCAAAACAATTCAGTGAAATCTGAACACAGGGAAGGGGAGGAGAAGAAAGGAAACCTGGAGGAAAAAGTTAAAAGTTAAACTGAATTAGTAAAACCATTCAGTGGAAAAATGGGAGGAAAAGAATGCAAGAACGTAATGGTAGGACAGAAAGCCAGCCTGTTTGTGGGATTGTTACTAGAAGCATAACACAGAATCAGGGTTAATCAGGAGAAACCACAGAATCTTAGAAATGGGCAAAAACCCTAAAAATAAAACATGGGGAGAAGAAGAGAAAGTAGTAAACAAATCAGAAGTCCTAAGAACAGGCACACTGGATTGAATTAAAAGGCCCATACTATCCCTGGTTGTCTTTAAGCATGACCTCTGCTTCACCCGAGGATTTTACTGTTCCTTTATGAGCTGAGATGACAAAACTGTGTATGCTATTTACACTGCAGCATAACTCACTATTTCATTCTCCCTTCCTTTCCTAACAACTCTTAAAATTCTACTCTTGTTTTTTCCATGCCACTGAAGGTTAACCTAACATTTTTTTAAAGGTATGCACAATGATTTAAGTCTTATTTCCCTGCTCTTTTTAAGTTCACTTTCATTTACATATATTAGAAGTATTATATTCAGCACTGGTTTTATTTGCATTTTATTGGCTTCTCCATTACTTGACTGACTGGACCAGTAACAGGTTGTGGAAAGGTAGCCAAAACTCAGAAATAGTAAGTAGTTCTCAGGAAAGAATAAATCAGGTGAAGAAAAACCTAAGAGGGAAGATCATGCTTAATGAATAGAAGTAATCTTGGCAGGAAAAGCTTCAGGTCTTTTGGAGATAAAAGCATAAGCTTTCAGCTGAAAGGGACTGGTGAGTTATCATGTAACCTGGAGTGACCAAGAATGACAGAGGAGAATGATGAGAGGAACAGGAGAGGCTCAAAACTGGAGCAGTACAAATTAGAATAGTATGATAGCAACAAGGTGCAACAAAGTAGAAAAGACAAATTATGTGAGAGCACATGGATTGGAATAGAGAAGCACAACAACCATGTCACCATGGTCTGATCCTTGGTGGGAAGTGTAAGGGAAGAATAATTTGAGAGAATCGTGGGACAGCTCTTACGTCTTTGTAAACATATGGCTAGAAAAGGAATAAGTAAATGCAGTTTTCAGGACTAAAAAAATGGGTTACTCACAGAACATTTAGACCACAATCAAGAAATTCACACTTTACACCTCTAGAAGAGCCCATAACAACATTATTAGCAGCTGGGTATGCAACAGTACATTTTTGGAAAAAGCAAAAATTCCTCAATTTAAAGGCATAAAGAACAAGTATAGGAAATCTTCCAATAAGGAAAAATGTCAGGCAGCTTTATTTCAGGATCAAACAGATTTAACAAAAAAAAAAAAAATCTTCTGATTTTTGTAACAGGAAAGAATCTGTCAAAGACTATAAATAGAGATTTTAATAAGACCTATATGAAAAATCCTTGTATGGCAATATGAGAAGTTTTACAAACACTGACTTTGATACTTACCCTAAAGTTGTCAGGAGAGCTTAGATAAAGTTTTTCCCTAATGTCTTCTGGAGCACCAGCACAAAGCCTGTAAAAGATATGGTAATTCCTCTCTTCTTTGCCTTGCACACAAATCCTAGATTTCTCCAGAAGGTAATGTGACACAAATCCACCAACCACCGAGTTCTAGGAGGAAGAAATATTTTTCTCATTATCTGCATATTTTTTGGATTATTTGAGATTCAAAAGTTTTCACTTTACATTTGTCTGATCATGGCTTGCTCAACAGATGCTGCTCCAAACAAGATTAAAATATATCTATACCTAATACATATTAAGCTTAGAAAACCATTGCCTTTACCACTTCTCTCCTAGCTCATGTATTGCATATACATGAGCATTCTTCCTAAAAGAAGGGTCTGCTTCACCCCAACAAGCAGAAATCCTTGGTAGAATTCTAGTAGTTCCTGCAAAGAGCACTGATACAGCCACTGCTACACTTTTTGGATAGCAGTAAGTGCCATTACCATGCTATTACAACCTTCTCTATTTGCATTTCACTGAGATTCTTGCAAAGGAGAAGGAAGGGTTAAATTAAAGAATAATTATTTGGACAATATCTTAGGCAGACAAATTATGAGCAAACATTTTATATTAAATACTTGCACTTCTTTTCCAAGACAGAAATCTGACACAGATTTAAAAAGCCATTTGTTTGTTATCTGTCCTATGATAAAACTCCTTGTGCCTAGACTAATCTTAATAGCGAGAAAATACCCAAGCTTATGGCCATTACAGCAACTAAGAAGGACTTACTGACAAATTTTAGTATGGTTATGCAGTCATTCAGGAGGCCCCAGTCTGTACTTCTATTCCTTTGAGAAATCAGACCTAATAAGGTCACCACAAAGTGAAGTCTTGTGAAATATGAAGCATTGTAAAAAAGGGGCTCGGGTAAACAGGTTGATCTTATAGCCTTTTAAGCAGTTTCTGAAGATACTGAGTACTGTTGGCTTCAGCTGAAGCAATTCATCTGAAACACCATGTAAGTGTTGACAGATAAGTTGACAGGTCATGAATGCATCATTCCAAGTAGAAATTTGGGTCCGTTCCATAAGTTTATTAACATGAACTGGATCAAGAGATAAAGTCCCTCTACCCTTAAAGGAATTTAATTATTTACTATCTAAACTGTTAACCAAAGATCTGAAATTTATTTACAAAACCAAGGGATGAAAACTTGGGAAAAGACCTTAAAATCTGCAGGAAGGAACTGCAAGAATTTCTTCCTTTATGTCCTCAATCAGAAAGATGAGGAGACACATACATAATCTCTACAGGGTCGTCGACCAAAGTCTTCAACTTGGACATGCTGGACAGCTATACAGCCATCATTAATTGTGGAATGTGTGTATACATATGCTATCCAAGCAAATCTACACCCAAAGAAAATTTTTCATAAGCTACACCATGAACACTGCTTCTGACAAAAAACAATTCCATGACTTCTGTCACATTCATAATACTAATGAGAGGTCCCAAAATTCATACAAATACATGAGTACATCAATAATTCTTTTGAAGTATTAAAGCATTAAAATATGTTTAAAACCCTTTATATCTAATATGCAACTCACACTTACTTGTGCATTAAAGGAATGCATAAATATTTAACAGCAAGTAAGTTATTCTTTAGATATGCTTTTTGCAATGAAGGGAACAATTTGTATTCTTTTGTGGATGGACTACTGACCTGACCCACCATTTTCCTGCAGCGACATAGTACTGTGTGCTTTTGGTTTTCCTTTCAAGGTGATAGAAAAAAAATCGTATCTGTAAAGCAGGACAGTAGCTATTTGGTGCAAGATAAGTAAGTCTATTCAGCCTACTGCCAGTCTAGCATTACCATTTTATAGAAAAAAAAAATCATCCCTGGTTATCTGTATGAAAATTCCGGTACCTTTTCATTGAAGTGAATTTCTACAAATTTCCCAAAACGACTGCTGTTGTTGTTGCGAACAGTCTTTGCATTTCCAAAGGCTTCTAATAGAGGATTTGCTGTTTAAAAAATAAAAATTTTTAAGTGTTATAATTTGATCAATAAGCTACCAAAAAAGGAGAAAACAAATACATACTAATTATTCAGTGAACTTATTGGGAATAACATTTGAAAATTAAAAGAAAAACATTACCTATCAGGAATAATAAATTTTGCAAATATACTGTAGTGGAACTTCCAATGAAGTACTTAAATATCACATAAGACTGCAAAGTATTTGAATCAATGCTGTAAGAAATTCAGAGACAAACACTGAAAATTATTCAGTGATGTTCTTCTACAGCAAGGAGGTAAATAACTGATATATAAACTACATGAGACACACAATTTGACACTTCCCAATGAGTTGTTATTCATAAAATCTAAACTACCCACTTATCCCACAAACAAAAGTGCCACTTAAATGTCATGCCCGCAACATGTTAGATTGATTAGGGAATAAAAAACATATTAGAAGAGTGTGTTGATTTCAAAAACAACTTTAAAATGCCCTTTCAAATTAGGTCAATTAAGTGATTGAATGATTTTATTTTTTACTGTCTGCAGTTTTCAAGCACCTTAAAGCCCATACAGAAAGAGTGGCAGCAATCTAAAGCATATACATATAAAAATATATCTCTATACACCATGCACAGTTTAAGCAGTTTGAAAATGCTTAGGAGTTATGAAACACAAGCCCTCTGAAAGACTGCATTTACTAGCTCTGAAGATCAAAGTAACCCGATTTACTAAATCACGCTAACAATAAACCATTGAAAATATCTGCAAGATTTATTAAGGCTTTTAAGCTAAAACAAAAAGCACTGGAAACTAAGTGAGCAGAAACTCAGATTTAAAACTCCACTGACAACCATCTACAACTCTGCTCCTACAAAAATTAAAGGATGAAGGAATAACTACAGTGGTTGGATAACTTATGGATGATAATGCATCGTCTAGTAGGACATCATCAGCATTAACTTTTTTGTTTTGCCTAGGTTTTCATTTTTTAATACTTAAAGCTTATGAAAATGCAAATCCGACTTTCAAAACTGAATTCTTAAGATATTTTTGATAACTATTCAGGTATTTTACATAATATTAACAGTTTTCAAGAAAACATTAATAATAATGTATTGCAGGAAGTCTTTCAGATAGGTTAAAGGTTCTTCTAGTAATGCATATGCTTTAATACATGCTCATTACAATTGTGTCTAAAAAACTTCAAAATTCATGCATCAGATGCTGTTATAGATTAAACAACCCAAACTTCCCTAAGAATACCTACAAGTACCAATCCATACTACATCAGGCTTTATACTTGGCCACTTTCCAAGTTCTTTTAGCACACTGTGGATTTCACTAAGGAATTGGTTTAAGCAAACCTACAGCAACAAGAGATTAAAGCCTGCAGTAGTTCTCTTGAATAATCCAGTGGCTTGAATTTGAAAACAGGAAATTTAAAGCAAAAGAAAAATTTTTTTTTTTTTTGTTTAAGAAAAAAAAAACAGAGTAAAGAAATTCCAAAATAAATCTACTACGTGCTACAGAAGACTAAAATGGACATAGGAGGCATTATTAGATTGACTGAGAGTTGTCTGGTTTTGAGATATTTATATTTTCTCAAAAATGTATTTTCTGTTCAATTAGAAAGTGCATGCAACATTAAAGAGGCTCAACTGGATGGTCAACACAGTCTCTTCTGACCTTGTTTGGGAGTCTGTTATCAAGATATACACAATGAAAGTGTCAATCCAAATTATGTGCTTTCTGACAAAAAAGACATAACAGAAAAATGACTCAGAACCATAATTTAAAAGAACTTCCCTGCTTTGTTGGACTTTGAGAACCTCACAGTTAGGAGGAGGTACTTTCCTGGTATTAAAAGAGAATAATGAGAACATAATCTTGTCCTTGCAAATTTCATACAGCATAAAATCCAATCTTGGGTACACGTGTGTGAAGTTCAACTCAAACACACACTTAAACATTTTGTAGATTAAGAAGTATAGGACACTATACTAAATAAAAATAAAGTGAATCACATATAAAAATATGTTTTCAGAATTTAGGATCAAGGTAAACCACCAGTAAATGATGTCCTAGGAAGTCTGGTAGTATTTCCATCTGAGCTTTTATTTAGTTACTGTTGACTGGAATTTCAAATTTGGGGGAAAAAAAAACAACCACAAACAACAGGCACCAAAAAAAACCCTTAAAACATTGTAACCTTTAGTGCAATTAAGGAAAATTTAATACCTTCTACAATTCTATCATCAATATCTTGTCCAGTACCATAGGATTCTGTCAAATACCTGTAAAGCAATATAAAAATATCAGTATCTCTCATGTGTCAGGTTAACTCATTTCAAGAGGATTTAGCATGTCTGTGCACCATGCTTGCTAACCACTTACTAAGGGGAAAGTATACTGATTACAAGCTCCAAATACCTGTATCATTTGAAATAAATGCAGTTTGACTTTTTTTTGTTAAAACAAAAATATTCTTACAGACCAGATTTTTTTCAATACTTCAAGACATGCTAGAAATTTCTTCTAGATGTGCATATGGAAATTAATTAAACTTTTATACAAATATAATGAAACTACTACTGTACTATCTGTATTTATTAATAACCTTAGTAAACACCTAAGGTTTCATATGTATTTCCTGAATTAAGGACTGTTTCCATGCATAGAAACATACACACATACTGCTTCTGTGTTAATAATTAACAGTGTTAATAAAAATCTCACATGGAGATGGTGAGATAGGAATTTGCAGGTGCATAAACAAGGTAAGATTCAATTTAGCAACTGAAGAAAGAATTTTAAAATAAATCCACAAAATACTTGTTCCAAATTTGCAGCTCCAAAGCACAGGGCATGCTTTCTGGAAATTCACAAGTAAATCTGGGACAAGTTAAAAACAGTTCTCGAAAATGGGGCCTTCCAAAAAAAATTTGGGAGCACTAACAGAACTGTGTTAGTACCTTTCACTTTCCAATCACATAAGGGAAAAATCTTCCTAATTTTAAAACTCGGTGATGTTTTGTACATGGACCCAGGGGTCAGGTACAGGTGGGGAGAAGCAGCAGCAGCCTGCTGTGTAATCAGAACTTCCATTGCCAAGAAGCAGAAGAATAACCTCCACTGAGAGCATTCCTCAGGAGATGTTCTCCCAGTGCCTGCAGTCTTTTTTCACTCAGCAGGATCAAAGTTAGGATGTTCCCTGTAAAAATCATTACCAGCACCTTGCAGTAATTCTTATAAATATCTGTTAAAAGTGGCACAGGGGCAGAGAAGAGCAGTATGAAGGACAGACAGACAGCTGTAACAATTCTTCATGGGATGTGGAAGATAATACCAATACTGTACATACATACTAGAGAATACACAATGTCAGGGAAAAGGGAATTAAAGACTTGTCCTTTTTTCCCAGTATAAGACGAGGAAGGGAGTGTCTTGTGTTCACTCTGCTTGCACTCTGCTTCCCTGGATAGTCAGGCCACCTATGATACAGGTGAATCTAATGGAGCAGTGCTTTCCAGTTACAGTGCTCCAGAGTGATATAAAACAGTTAAAGTATAAAGCAAATATGATCAAAAACATTACAATCAAATATCAGCCTCACTTCTTCTTACATCAGCAATATGGTCCCCATATAGTTTAATATGCTTGATTTAGTATTGGCCATATATGAACATCAATAAATAAACAAATCCCATTATTCAATCTCATTCAGTAAATTAAGGTAAAGTATATTACAGAATCTCTGCAGTGATCTCAAAATCAAGAGGTAAAAACCCTGGATGCTTAAGCAAACTTAAGAAACAAAGACAGGGAAAACACAGAAATGCACATTTATGGCAAAATGAACAGTGGCTTGCAAGATACAGTTAAAATGCCTAGTTACATTGTTATCTACCACAACACCAGATGTGCAATACCAAAATCACTGCATCAAAACCGTAACTACTACATGATGTCACTACAACCAAGTTAAGGTTTCTGTGAATATATAGCCATTTCCACTTGTTACAATGTCAGCATTTAAGTTTAACTCTATGAATTTCTTGTATTAAAGTGTATGTAGGAGTATCTTACTGAATTGTGTCTTAAACCTACTGCTTACTTTACAGTTTGCTCTGTCTGTATGTCAACCAAATGCATCAACACAACAGATTTACTGAATAACTTTGGTCCAAAAGCACAAACCTCAAAACAAATTTAGTGTTTTCAGTCTTGCCAGCTCCCGATTCTCCAGAGACTATAATGGACTGACTCATCTTGAGCACTTTCATGTCACGGAATGCTTTATCAGCTTAAAAAGACGAGTATGTTAAACATGACAAAAATTAATATTCAGGAGAGTTGCAAGCTTCAAGTTAAGCTACAATACAAAAATTAAAATGTAACACTGTCAGCAATAAAAAGGTAAATCTTTACAATTGAGTGCATTACAACTTCTTAAAGTCTGTTTCCCTTTAAATCATACTATAGTTGCCCACCTTCAAACACTGACATGTACATGCTCAAAGTCTTTGAAAATAAAGACCTACTGAACTATATCTAGGATAAAATAAGACAAAACCAACCACCTAGAACTAAATCTCTTGAATTAAATGTATTTACAAAATAGTAACCAATCTTACTTTAATATGTTTTTTAAAGGGAAACTTTCAGTTATACTTTGTAACAAGTAACATCTGAGATAAGAAAACTTGGAAAAATGTAGAGTTTTTGTTATGCAACAGGTACTAAAAAACCTAGCTATTTATACTTTTGATTACAAAACAAAATTCAACACAGTGAAAAGGTTTTTAACAAGTCAAATGTTGATTTGTAGTTTCCATTTTTTTTTCTTAAAAAAAGCAACTGAAATCAGGTTTAATTACATTAATAACATTTAAGCGCACTTTCTGCCTATAACATAAGCATATAAAAAGAAACAGTGCATGTGCTCTGGCAACATAATAAAAGGCAAAGGAAATCACTGCACTGAAAGACAGCGTCAATAGTTATGTCATTCTTCACTTGTAAAATCTGAATTACTTTTTTTCTTTTTCTTTTTTTATAGTGGTTGTAAATTATGTTTAAACTGCTTAGATATAAAATGCTGGAGGTGCAGATTAATCAAAACAGAGTTGCTAGGCTTGCTAATTTACAAGTTCTTCAAACTGCTTATCAAGGATGAGAAGATTTGCAATTTTAGCAATGTGTTTTTATTTTAGAATACTTTAAAGTGAATCAATTACTTTTACAGATGGCAATTTTTACATAACTGCTAAGTATTTAATGCTTGTTTTGTAAAAGACAATACAGACTCAATACATACCAATAGCAAAAACATGTGGTGGCAATGTTCCAAGTGATCTACCCTGGTACTTTTTAATAGTTTCTGAAGAATAAAACTTAGGTATATCAAAATACGGATTCACTGCAATAAGAATGTTGGCTACATACGTCTGTGAAGAAAACAACAGCAAACTATTAACTAGTATCCAACCCGGTGGTTAACAACAATTTTCTATTCCTATTGAAGACTATAGCCTAACAGTATAACAATTACATTTACAATTCTCTCCAGCTAATGGAGAGCATTACATGGGATATATTTTCAGAGTTCCTCTAATTATCTTCTCAGGACTTCTATGAAAAAGCACTTCTCAGGAGAATTTCCTAACCACTGAGCTATGGAGTATGTCCTGAATTTGACCTTTCTCCCAATCTGCTTTTAAATTATTTCCTATTTTCTGAGTTACTGCATTGAGGATAAGACCCCACAACCTCCTCCTCAAAAGTGAATAAACTAAGGTCCTGGCTAGCATAATACACTCTCTTCCAGTGAGGAGGATAATTTTTCAATATCTAATGGAAGCAA